CCTGCTGAAACTGTCCAGAAAGTGCACAGCATCTGATAACTCCATTGATGGCTTTGTGACATGATCACCCCCCTACTCCCAGCTGGATGGAGAACCCCATCACAGGACCCCAAATAGCCCTCATATAAAATTGACTCCCCTTGCTGGCCTCTATAATAGTTGGTCACTTCCCCACTGGAAATGCCCAGTATAACTATAACTGTCTCCTGACCTGCTTATTGGCACCTTTCCTAAAGATCACTTCTCCACTCCCCCAAGATGTGTTAAATAGTACCTCCTTTCAGAAATGGTCTGTGTGAGACAGTAAGCCAGCTCCTCTTCCCCAGCCCTGCATACATACTAGCACGTGTGTGGCTGTCAGACAATCAGTGGCACATTCCGTAGCATTATGCTCAAGTCCTGAGAACTGGTGGGTGTACAGAACAAACTCAGAACAAGTGAAGACCTTGCTATGGAACAGGGAGAATTGGGTTCCTGCACTGGGCCACTTCCCACCCTAGTGTGACTCTACTGACTCCTCTGAGCTGGCACCTAGGATAAATCTGCTCATGTGTTTTTCAAGCAAACTCCTTCCCTTTTCCCTTTCAGCAGTGCAGGGCCAGGAGGGATCTACAGAGAACCAGTGCAGATAGCACTGGGATTTTCCACTTGCCGATCTGAGATTTTCGGACCCTTAACTTGACACCCTGTACTCTGCAGAGCAGGTTTCTACTGGAGCTGTCCTTGCAACTAAGTAGGCGTGAAGCTCCAGCCAGTCCCATGGTCTATAAATAACATCAACTTAGCAACTGGGCGCAAACTAAACAGTCATGTAATCATTCAAATGATGCCACAACACGCAGCAAAGCAGGAGACACAACTCAAGTCTGGGCTTGGGCTTCCTACCCCAGGCCTGGGTGTGGAAATGGATTAGCAGGGACTCCAAAGCTAGCAAACAGTTTCCATCTTATTCCCCAGTGCTCCGTGCCTGGTGGATTGTGCTTCAGTGTAATGAGGTAGATGCCTGCCCAGCCTCCAAGCTGGAGGCAGAGTGCCACTTGACAAATGCAGGGGAGATGTCAAGACTGAAAGGGGCAGCGCCAAGCACTCTGGCTAGAGCAGGGTGGTGTTGCGACTTGCTTTGGCTGCAACTCTTTGTGTATTAATGTGCGTTCAGTAATTCATAACTCAGACCTTCCCTCCATAGATCTTGAAGGGCATTTATTATATTAAGCAGCATGCAGCACCCTGGAGGGGTAGGAGGGGCTCACTTATCGCCGTGGTAGAGAAGCTTCAGCTGTGGTGCCAAGAAAGCATTGCAATAATAAACATCAAGCCAATGGAAGGGCTCAGGATGGAGTCCAGGGGTTGATTCCATAGATCCCTCTTCTAACTACTGGACCACTGGCCTTTGGATATGCCCAGTTTGGAAGGCACACATATAGATCTCTTTTTACATGATCACGTGTCTAAACAGACAGTACACAGGCATGCAAAGAGACACTGCACAAGAATCTGAAAGCTAGAGCCACAGAGCCTACCATCAACCCAGAATTGCCAGCTCTTGCAATTATATTATGGCTCATACAAAAATAAGCAGTTTTTCCCAAAACATCAGCTCCTGGAATCATGCAGAGCTTTCATTTAACAAGAAACACTCTTGGCCCTTATAATTGCAAAAAATAGTTTGAAAACATGACTCAGATGCAGCCTAGATGTTCAAAACCCAGAGAGCAGAGAAAGTGAGCTCTGCCTTTACTGCTTTCTAAGCAAAAGCTTGCAATGTTTAAGTCAATCTCCTGATCTTTATGGGCCTTACTCATAAATTTTCAATCCCTGAGGTCAGCAACAAGGTGAAACCATGGCACAGACTCCCTACCATGTCACGGGTTCAGGTATTCTGTAGCTTCACAGAAATAGTCTCACCTCATCTCTCAGAATTTATACCCAATAGATCCTTGCCATACAAAAAATATCTCATTGGTTAATTGGTTTAGAGCCTGAGTGAGTACAAATGGGCAGTTCACAAGTGCCTATTTCACGGAGTCTGATTCCTGCCGTCCCCAGTATGTAGAACAGCAGTCACCATTCTATTTGGTCTGGATGCCTTTTTTTCCCCATGTACTGCACTGCACATGTGGGGAGAGTGAGGAACTCACTGTACTGTGAAGCATCATGCAGCAGCTATTGCTGGAGGCCAGCCCCAGTAAGTTTCATGCCATAGTCTGATTGGCCAACCCACAACAATCAGATGTTGCTCAAAAAGTTTTTTGCTATTTAGCAAATGCAGAACAGTATACCAGGTCACTTAAGACAGCCTTAGATAAGGCAGGCAAGCATTTCAGTTGTGCAAATGGCACTAGCCATATGCCAAATCCCAGTGCTATCAATACAAAAGCACCACTTAAGCCAATTTAAACACACCTTTGAATTCATGTGGGAGCAGCCTGCACTCAGCAGTTTGCACTTCATTAAGCTCCTGACCTTGTTGCTCAGAGTGCCCTGCCTCTATTGCAAGCCTCAGAATACAAAGGGGGCAAGGTACACTGTCCTATGGAGAGTGGCACCCATGGGATCTGCTCTGCTCAAATGTTAGCCCTCAGGACATTTGCAAGTAGAATGTGGGTTTCAGTTCTGCCCCCATAGCAGAACTAGGACATGCACAGATTAAGGATTCTCTGGGCAGCTGGGACACAAGACCCTCTTTCTGCTTTCAAATCCCTTAGTAAAGTATTGCAATAAGGACACAAGGTGTATGCAGCCTTCAGACCTCTGATCTAATAGCACCTTTGAAATGAACAGGGCCTAATCAGATTCAGGACTGCACAGAAAAGAGAGCAGTTGAGGTGGGCTAGAAGGATCTACCCATCCCACATGTCAGGCTTCTTTTCTGACTGCTGTATACAGCTGAGACTGTATCCTAGCCCTGTGATATATTATGTAACTCTTCTTATTCTCTGCAAAGCCCACCAACCCACAACGAGGCTGGGTTGTATATCCTTTTGGAGTGAACCCCTGGTGGATGTGCCTGGTGTCAGCAGCTCCCGCCATTTTAGTCATCATCCTCATCTTCATGGACCAGCAAATCACAGCTGTCATCCTCAACCGCAAAGAGTACAAGCTGCAGGTCAGTTTTGGGAAGGTTGGCTCAAGGGCTGACTTGGGATTAGAGGATGCTATAAGTGGTGGGCAGACCAGACAATCTCCCAGGTTTTCATAGATTTCATAGACATTAGGGATGGAATGGACCTTGCAAGATCATCAGGTCCAGCCCCCTGCCCAAGGGGCAGGAAGTCAGCAGAGGTCAAATGATCCCAGAAAGATAGGCATCCAAGTGTTTTTTGAAAGTATCCAGTTTTGTTCTTGGACACAGAATGCAGAGCCAGGTTTCCATAGTAGATGCCTAGCACAGTTAAAACAGCTTGCTGGACTTCATGTGTTCTGGACTTGTGACTTCCAATCATCTTGCAGTGATGGGGGTTTTCTGTGAAAGTCCTCCCTGTCCCCTAAGAGCAGGCCAATAGCAGGCCAGGCCCTACAGGGCTATGTGTACATGCAGAGCTGAGAAAGCAAGTGTCTCGGCTGTGTTCTTTCTCAGTTTCCACCAAGATGGAGAATCTAGCTGATTGGGGACTGAAGACCTGGGGTGCTCAACTCGAAAACAATGGAACCTCTGATCTAAGTGTCTGCATTTAGGGGTGTTGTGATATTTGAAAACAAAAGGCTGTACAAAACTTGTGTAGTGGGTAAGCACTCAGCATGGCCTACTCAGGTGGAGTCTTGTGCTAATGTGGGTATACTGCTTTCAGCTTGTTCCAGTACATTTGTACGGCACTGCATCATGTGCCAGGGAGCAAGGTGCTGAGTCCCCTCAGTTGACACTTCTTAGCCCTTCCCAAGACTGAGCACTCAGGGTGTGTCTAAAGCCGCTCAATACATAGGAATACAGTCCCCAGCAAAGCAAGTAACAGCTTCTCTGAAGGAAACATGCTTCTGGAAGCATCATCTTATAGAGAGAAAAAGTGAAGCATAGAGACTTTGGGGGCAGGTCTTACTCCACGCACAAGTAGACTTTGGGGACTAAGTATGATCCAATTCCACCTTGCTTGAGTCCTAGAGAAAACATTAAGGCACTTGTGTAACACACTGTCATCTTAGCCTTAAAATAAGTCACCAGAAAAAGCAAAGAGGAGGATGACCCACCCACCTTTTGCAGTAAGGTGTACACTTAGGTGCCTAATAAGTAGATACGAATCTGGCCCCAAGCAACTTGCCCAAAGTTACCAAATGTTAGTCAGGACTAAAGGCCAAGTCTTTTCCATGGGCCCTGGATCAAACCACTGGACCATGCTGTGCCCTTCAAAAGGTGCCAGGAAGGAAGTCTCTGTGCTCTTGGTCTCCCTCTCTTTCTTTCATTTGCCATAGACTGACATTCAAATTCCAGCTGCATGTCCCAGTTGTAAGCTGGCTGGACTGTGTGGGAGAGCTGAGCAAGTGATACTGAGTACCAGCATGCCCTCTGACACTGCTGCACTGACTAATCTGTAGCTTAGCCCATGGTCCCTGACTGTCAGGGCTATTTACTCAGGGCTGAGCCTGTTGGCACTTGTTTCCTTCATTAAATTTACTGAGGTTTTCCCTAACCTGTTCGCACAGCCTGAGCTCAGAGCTAATGACAAAGACTTTTCTAAACATAAGACTTTGTGCTAAAAGAACTAATTTTCTGGGCCTGGGAATACATATAGTTTTGCCTGGCAGCACTGAGATTGTGACTAATCTGATTGTTCTTGCATTGCTTGTTCACTCTCCTTCTACACATCAAACTCATT